AGCTCTCAGGATAATGCAAAAAGATTGCAACAAGATATAGATAGGCGAGGGGAGTGGGCAAGTCGGTGGCAGATTGAATTCAATGTTAGCAAGTGTGAAATTATTCACCTAGGTAGCAAGAATAAAAGAACAGATTATTTTCTGGAAGGGGAGAAGTTAGATAGAGTTAGTATTCAAAGGGATTTGGGTGTCCTTGTACACCAGTCCCAAAAAGTTAGTTTGCAGGTGCAGCAAGCAACTAAGAAGGCGAACGGCATGTTAGCGTTCATTTCGAAAGGTTTAGAATATAAGAGTAGGGAAGTCTTGCTGCAACTGTATAGGGCCTTGGTGAGACCGCACCTAGAGTATTGTGTGCAGTTTTGGTCTCCTTATTTAAAAAAGGACATACTTGCCCTAGAGGGGGTGCAGCGTAGATTCACTCGGTTAGTTCCTGGGATGAGGGGACTGACCTATGAGGATAGGCTGAATAAACTAGGGCTGTATTCTCTAGAGTACAGAAGAATTAGGGGGGATCTTATTGAAACTGATACGATTCTTAAAGGGCTGGATAAAGTAGACACAGAGGGACTGTTTCCCCTGGTAGGAGAATCTATAACCACGGGTCACAGTCTTAAAATTAAGGGTCAGCCTCTTAGAACAGAGTTGAGAAAACATTTCTTCACTCAGAGGGTAGTGAACTTATGGAATTCACTACCCCAAAAGGCTGTAGATTCTCAGTCCTTGAACATTTTCAAGGCTGAGGCTGATAGATTCTTGAAAAATAGAGAGATTAGGGGATATGGGGATAGGGCAGGTAATCAGAGTTAGGTGAGAAGATCAGCCACAATCTTATTGAATGGCAGAGCAGGCAAGAAGGGCCGAATGGCCTACTCCTGCTCCTAATTCTTATGTTCTTATGTTCTTAAAAACAGAAATATTTACAGAGGAACAGACAGCCTCTCATTTGTAAATTATCATTATTCTTTCATGCTTTGAGATTTGCTTGTCTTTAAAACTTTAATTTGATCTACAGAAAATTACAAAGTCTTCTCTTTTCATTATCAAAGCATCTTTATCCTGGGTTTTGTTGTATTGAAAGTTTTCTTGGTTTCTAAATGTTTTAAGATTAAAATGTATATAGGAATCCAAATGAATTGAAGGCGATTTGATTAGTTTTTTTGTAACTGCAGATTCCTGTTATATTTGCCAACAAATACAGTCAGTACACTTGAAAGAAATGTTTCAATGTGATAAAGCATTGCATCAAATGCTATAAATATTTTATTATAATAATGGTCACACTATACCTCCCCAGGTTGTATTGTATCTCTTACTTATTAGAACCAGTAGTTATAATTCCAGACGAACAACTAATGCTTCTATTGATTTGTGGTTTTGTTCTTCTGAGGCAATAATTTAGCTTACTCTGCTCTAAGCCGAGTTACTAAAATGTTATCTCTTGCTGCATGTTAACTGTCTGGAATGGGAAGAGTGGATTCCTCCATTGATTATGTGAGGAAATTAAAAATGTAACAGACCCAGTGGAGATTGTAAAACAAGTTTGAGACTTATCCCTACAATGTTTTTTCTCCCCTACCCAATGGAATTGGTGTTAATATTTCACCTATGAAGCACTTTCTCCATTTCACAGTTATACATGTAACAGATCACCTGATTTAATTACTCATGCAATTTGTTTTGCTTTCTTGGACCATTTGGTCACACCACTTGCTTAAATATGCTGAGGCCCACAAGCAGGTAGGTGCAAGTGCTGTTCTGTCCAAGTACAGAGCCATTTTCAGCGACACTCCCAGGCTTTCTGTGAGTAAATACAGTTGGCATTGTTATAGTGCCTATAATGTTGTCTGAGTCCTTCACAGCAATTGCTATTATGTGTACTGAAAGTTCCTGAAACAGGCATGAGATGAATAAACAATTAATTTATGGTTTGTTGGCTGGGACACTGAACAAAACTCCCTTGGATTTTAGAATAGTGTTGTGGGATCTTTAACAATCATTAATCTCAGAGGGTGGTGGTGGAGTGTGGGGAGGGGCTGGAGAGAGGGCGGGTGGGGGGGACTATGGAAACCTATAAGATCATCAAAGGGCATGATAGAGTAGATAGTGGGAGATTGTTTCCCCTGGTTGGATGCATTTGTCTGTTCTCTAGGGAGTGACTTGTGTTTTGGAGGATTGGGGGGAATCCCATCCCAACTGTTGGGGGTTTTGTACAATTATGTATCTGGGTAAACTACAGGAAGCTGCTTCCTCTGCGATGGCTTTTGTGACCATCCAACATTTGGAAGATTCTGAATGTAGGGCTTTTCTCTTTACAAAAATAACATAACATAACATGTAGGAGCAGGAGTAGGCCATTTGGCCTTTCAAGCCTGCCCCGCCATTCAATCATGGCTGATCTTCTAATCTAACTCCAGCTAATAACCTAACCCTGCCTTATCCCCATATCCCTTAATCCCTTTTGCAATAAGAAATCTATCTATTTCAGTCTTGAATATGTTCAAGGACTGAGCATCAACAGCCCTTTGGGGTAGCGAGTTCCATACATTCACCACCCTTTGAGTGAAGAACTTCTTCCTCAACTCAGTGCGAAATGGCTGGCCTCTGATTTTAAGGTTGTGACCCCTGGTTTTAGTTTCTCCAACCAGGGAAAACAATCTCCCACTATCTATTCTATCATGCCCTTGGATGATCTTATAAGTTTCTATAAGATCCCCTCTAATTCTTCTATATTCTGGAGAATTGGTCAGCCTATCCTCGTAACTCATCCCCTTCATCCCTGGTACTAACCTAGTAAATCTACACTGCACCCTCTCCAAGGCAAGTGCATCCTTCCTTAAATAAGGAAACCAAAACTGGACACAGTATTCCAGGTGTGGTCTCACCAGGGCCCTATACAGTTGCAGCAAGACTTCCCTACTCTTATACTTTGATCCTTTCATAATGAATGCTAACATACCATTAGCCTTCCTAATTGCTGCTGCACCTGCAGACTAACTTTCTGTGATTGGTGTACAAGGACACCCGAATCCCTCTGGACGCTAACACATTCCAATCTCTCCCCTTCTAAAAAATAACCCGCTCTACTGTTTTTGCTACCTAGGTGGTTGACTTCGCACTTCCCTACATTATACTTCATCTGCCACCTACCTGCCCAATCACTTAACCGATCTATGTCTCGCTGCATTTTTTTGTGTCATCCTCTGTGTTAACACTTCCTCCTAGTTTTGTGTCATCTGCGAATTTAGATATATTAACTTCGATGTCCTCATCTAGATTGTTGATGTAGATGGCAAATAGCTGAGGCCCAAGGACTGATCCTTGTGGCACTCCACTAGTTACATCCCGCCAATCTGAAAAGGACCGTTTATCCCTACTCTTTGTTTCCTACCTGTTAACCATTCCCCAATCCACGTTAATATGCTCCCCCCAATTCCATGGGCCCTTATCTTTTGGACTAACCTTTTATGGGGCACCTTATCGAATGCCTTCTGGAAGTCCAAATAGACCACATCCACTGATTCACCCTTATCTAGTTTACTCGAAATATCCTCAAAAAACTCAGATTTGTCAAACATGACTTCCCTTTTGTAAAGCCAGGTTGACTTGGCCTAATTATATTGTGCTCCCCTAAATACCGCCCTACTACATCCTTAATCAATGATTCTAATTTTTTTCCTATCACTGATGTGAGACTAACTGGCCTATAGTTCCCCATCTTTTCCTTTCCACCTTTTTTAAATAGTGGTGTGACATTTGCGATCTTCCAATCCAATGTAACAATACAAAAATGTATCAAGCCTTGCAGAGTCAGTGAGATAGAACACATTAACTGGTCTCCTTTAGGCTTCAGCAATTCAATTAACTTAACCTTTAATTCTACTACAGATATTTCTGCTTAAATACATCAGTTAATTAAATTTTATCCATATTATTTTTGATTATCTTCTCCTTTTCACTGTCAGTGACCTATTGTCTGACCAGTGTCATCAGGCACCACACCACTAGTGCCAGGCTACAGTGGACAGACAATGAGCATGGGGGAGACCTCACTAACTCATTAAATTATACTCTGGTCTTCAGGAAAAGTACAGGAGGCTCCTGTGTATCTGAGAACTGAGATCTCATAAGTGAGAATTTCCAGTTCAAACCTATTTCCTGTCTCGTTCTCATCACATTGGCACATCAGTGGTATTGGGGCATCATGCCTGAAGCAGTGGTTGAATCAAGACAATATAGATGTATTCAAGAGGAAGCTAGATCTTCACGTGAGGGAAAGGGAACGAGAAAGATATGGAAGGGAGTAAGAAAGGAGTAGAGACTTGTGTGCAGTATAAACACCTGGTTGGGCTGAGTTGCCTGTTTCCATGCTGTACATTCTTTGTAAATCTATTGTACCCTCTTACCATATATATCTCTTCTTTGCTTCTACTGAATGCCCAGCTGTCTCACTCAGCTGTTTCAAACATTGTTGTAGTTATGTAGCCTTAGACTGCTATGTGATTCCTGTTCATGTGGTGCTTTGTTTAATGATTTGAGGTTTTGAAATTTACACTGAATGAATTAGGCTTTGCACTAGATTATAATGTGTTTCTGTTTTAAACATGCATGCCTGTTTCAGTTTTCGCATTTCATTTGGGCTGTGTTTAAGAGTATAAATACATCTGGCTTCTCCAAGGTCTTGTTTGTTCTCTCTGGGCTATGCATCGACTGTGACTGAGTAGGTGAATAGCCAGAGGCCTGCTCGTAGGCTTCTGCTCTGAGCTGACTGTTCAGAGCTGGTTGACAGCAGCCTAGATATGGCTCTGACTTCAAATTGCCCTCCTCCTACAGGGAGCCTCCTGGCTTTCATTCAGTCCCTGTACATGGTAGGTCAACAGAGATCAGAAACTCAATGGAGCAGATGAATCGTTTTTTTTAAAATGCAAAATGAACTAGAGGTGATGGGATTTTTTTAAACCTTTGTATAGAAAAGTGGAAGACAACATGATAATGCACTGCATTGTTTAATAATTAGAGGAAAAGCAGCGTCCAGCTCACAGCTATTCTAATTCCAGAGGCTTGATAGCAGAAGGCAGTTAACAGTCCCAGCCATCTAGTTCTAAGGTATTAATTGGCCTCTTTAATCTTAAGAGTTACATATACACCACCAATGGATCATTTTATCTGTACAACATTGCAAAAAAGATCTAAGCACACATACATGTTGCTGCATGCTTTATTGCACCATTACAAAACTCTGTACAATTTTCTAAACAAGATGAATCATCTCATGCAATTATACTTTTGCCTGAAATGGTCTAGCTTTGCTCATTTTTTTTTATAGTTTGCAACACTTAAACTCAATTAATAATGCATTTCATGGGAACATTTTGTCATTAATGTGAGGTTATAAATGCATTTTGATTTGTATCTCTATCTGAAAACTTCTTTGGCACTAACCATTATTAAATTTATAGCCAACAATTTTTGCCACTGTCCTGCACTTTATTTCAAAACAACGGCCTGGCAATGAAGGGCTTCTGCAGCAGTTTACAACACACCAAGTATGCGTCCTACCCACCAGGTACATGGCATGATCATTGTGCAGGCAACACGGCATCCCCGATAATCATAAGGCCAGGGCATATAACCACCGAGCGGTTCACAGATGCGCTGGCAATGTGTATAACTGCGTCTGCACTCAGCACAGCAGATTCCTTGGTGGTCCAACATGGGGTCAAAGGTCATTCCACCCTCGCCCTGTAAGAGTCGCTAGAGAAGAAAATAATGAAGACATGTAAGTGTCATGTTTTGAAACGTTTTTATCTCTTATCTAATTCATATGTAAAGCAAAGTCCCTCTTTTCAAACAAAATGTTGTTAACCTCGTCATTTTAACTCTGACCAGTTTAGAGAACTGTACCCAGGTTAACAATAATTTTCCTTCTGTAACAAGTCTGTCTTCCTCTGTTGTAACAAAATATACAATCAGTGTACAGTTCCTGACAAAGTTACTGATATGAGCATCCATGTGCTACAAGGTTAACAGGATTTAGTGTAGTGCCACTGAAGCATATTATACAAGTCAAACATATCAAACATGAGTCCAGCCAAAATTACCGTGACATTTTAAAGGAATAATACATTGTTAATATGCATAACTAAGGCCTTTTTAATTTAAGGAATTATTTTCCTTCTTATCCATTAGCATTTTCCCACAGCTGGTTCCATTTTTTCAAACTCTTTATAAATCATAAATTCCTCCTAGGTCTCCATAGGACCCACAGCTGAAAGGGCAGTCAACCAACCCACTGCACAGCCTCTGAGAATGCTGCTCAAACCTCATGATGAGAAGGTGTTTGAGAGCAGCCTAAACAGCTACATTACATTTTATTAGGAGAAAGTGCTTAGATTTTTCTGGAAGCCTTCCACATCAGCACATTGAGCCTCGGAACTTGGTACATTAAGGGAATTGATCCTGTAGCTTACTTGTGCATCTCTTGCCCGAGCTAAATCAAACAAATACAGTTCATAAGGCAGAATGCTGGACTAAATATACAGTAGCTTGAGATAGCCTACAGGCTTCAAGTTTCAATTCCAAAATGGGAATCCAGTTATTGTGAGTGGAGATTTGACAAATAAAAAACACTTAAGCTCTGAATAAATTCAATGCAGCCTAATCTTTGGTATTTCTCACTTCCAGTGCCAAGTTCGTGCAGGAATTCTGATAGGAATCCTGGCAAGAAATATCACGAATCATACCCTAATATGGCAAACCAAATGTAGCTTGCTTGATCTCCAAGTGAAATGCCGTTTTGACCTTCCCTGATTTTCTGTTGTATTTAACTGTTCTCTGTCTGGTGCTTGGCACATTATTTGTTTGTGGCAAGTGCTTTTCAAAATTATAGTTGTATCCTTATATTTGTATTTATAAAGGGATTGTTGGATAATGTTTGAAACACTGCTTGAAATATACTTAATAGATCCAGCAACCTATTGGGTTGAATTAAAAATGTTAACAGTATGCTTAATATGCCAGACTGGGACATTTCTTAATTTTTTTAAAAATTGTTTTGTATTCTTCATACCCACATGAAACAATCATTTAATTTTTTTGAAAAATTTATTCCATTCTGATTTTCTTCCCACGGCTTCTGAAAATTGTGAAAAATATGTAGTTCCAGGAAGCCTCTGGTACCTCCCCGGTCATAATTTTTCATGTATGAGATTAGATAGTGAAGATTAATTGACTTGATAGGCTGCTTGACTAAAGGGGCAGGGCATTGAGCCCATTAAGTCCTCATTCCAATATCTAAAGCACAGTTGGTTTCTCGCCAGAGCCTCTTGATAGCAATAAGAAGTGGGGACAGGAGCTTATGGTTTTCACCCTCGTGGTGTTGTGGATGCTGATGCCAACAGTAATGTTCTTTCCCTTACTAATTATGGCAGCATTTAATGTTGATGAATGTTATGCAAATACAGGTCATGAATATAATGATTTTGAGCCCACTGTCTCTTATGCAATTTTATTACAACTGTAGCGTTTGAATAACAACAAATTATTTATATAGTTAAAAATTAAATGATTGTTTCATGTGGGTATGAAGAATACAAAACAATTTTTAAAAAAATTAAGAAATGTCCCAGTCTGGCATATTAGGCATACTGTTAATATTTTTAATTCAACCCAATAGGTTGCTGGATCTATTAAGTATATTTCACATCCAAAGGACGTCCCCTTATCTTTATTATAAGATAGTTAAAGGTTCTTCAGAAAAAAAATGCCTTCTATTCAATGCTACAAGAAGTGTACTATGCATACTAGCCGCTTAATTCTTTATTTTCCCAACACTGCATTGAAAGCTGTAATGCCCATTCTGCTAGCTTCAGAAGGTAACGATTTACAATGCTGAATGCAGAAGCTCCCTTTATTGTGTTGCTCTCAAAAGATTTGATTGAAAGGTTTATGAAAAGGCATAATCTCTGGTGGCTCTTTAGATCCTCTTCCTACTGAGATCAAGACTGCATTCCATTCAACTGCATATTTGAATCAATCACTGCACCACCAGCTAACAGTGCCTCTATTAGCTGTTCATGAAAAACACCTAAAAAGTCAAGGTCAACAAAGCTGAAGGACATCTGAAGTAAGGTTATGAAATCAAGATGTAAACTAATTTTCTGATGGCCTTAAATATTCTTTGTGTTCATGTGAGTAATTTTGTGAACTTGCGATATCAGACTTTGAAAAACTCCTAGGTAAGCCAACTGAAGCATTAACCTTTGAGCTTTATTATAGAAAGAATGCTAATCAAACATCAGGAATAATATTGCTTCCCTCTGTTAATGCACTTCCTATCTATTCCTAGTCGACCTGGGTTCGATTCCCGGCAGGGTGAAACCTTGGGTAAGTTTCCTTACTCCACACGCCTGATAATAATCCCTCAAGAAAAAAACAATAATAAATTGGTCGGTTCAATCCATGACTGTTGGTGGGACACTGCTGTGCGCAATTGGCTGCCGCATTTCACCCACAAATATACAGTCAATTCACTTTACAGTCTATTCTGTGAAGCGCATTGAGACGTCCAGAAGACTTGAAAAGGCTATATCAAATGCAAGGATTATTATTATTATTATAACCTTAAAATAAAACACTTACATTTCATGTTTGTGCTCCCAGCTTTAACTGTCCATTTTGCAAAGTGGGAACAAGTTTTATTTGCCTTTTTATTGGCAAAGCACATTGTTACAACTGCTAAAACTCATTGCATTTAGAATTTTACAGCTGGCTGTAAGTAGAGGATGCAAACATACTCCTAGAAGGCGTTCTAATACTCTGTGCCATCCAGTCTTTTGTGTTTATGGAAATTTGCAAACTATAAAATTACTAATTTTAATAACAAAACATACAATGTTTCAATCCCTTACACAAAATCTTATTTGTTATAATTAATCCCTTTGTCTGAGACAATGAAATCTCATTCAATTATGAAATTTCTCTATTCTGATTCTGAGGCTAGTGAACACAGTGGGGGGTTGATATATATGAATGTTGAAATTGTCACTAGAAATATTTCTGAAAAGAAATCACACCAGTGGAATACAAAGACTGTGGTATATTAAATTCTGGATTCATTTTTCAAATGGTGCTGGTGCTGTAAACAATATAAGGATTTCAGATATCATCCTATGGCAATGATCACTAAATTTAATGCAGGCATTTGTGCGACTAAGGGAGTAATCCAGCAAACATTAGTAAATTTACTGATCTTGGTGGCCCTGCACATCTGATTCTCTGGTGGTCAGTACATTTTGTGACCTTAGTCATTTGAATTTATGATGGCAAAATTTCATCATATGCTCAGACCAGTAAGGCTAGTAAAATACTGATAGTCAGAGACGTACCCTATAAGAATCCTGCAGCCTGTGCTGTGTACCTTATGATAGTTACGATTATTGAGGTTTTATATAAAATGTGTCTTAATGGATTGATTAGGTCTATTTTTTCCTTAACTTTACAAATTTGATTTTGTCCACCATTGCTTTTCTCCACCAAGTTTCTATCTTCTCTCCTCTCATAAAGGACTCCTTGATGCTGGCTCAACTTCAAGACTGTGATCAATAGATATCTGTTAGGTAAAGGTATCAAGGGATATGGAAAAAATAATTATAATAATCCTTGCATTTGATATACTGCCTTATTATGTCGTCAAGGTGTCTCAATGCGCTTCACAGGATATTACTGTAAAGTTGATTGACTGTGTATTTTGTGGGAAAAACGTAGAATCCATTTTATGCACAGTAATGTCCCACAAACAGCTCTGGAATGAGCGACCAATTTTGTTTTTAATTTGGGGTGATTGTTGGCCAGGACACTACAAAAAACTCCCTTCTCTTTTCAAATAGTGCCATGGGATCTTTAACGTCCATGTGAACAGGCAGACGGGTGTGTCATCTAAGGCTATGTGATTCCATTATGGTGCTTGACCTCACAACCTTCTGACTCAGAGGCGAGAGTCCTGCCAGGGAGCCAGGCTGAAAAACAATGGATTTTAGGTACAGATCAGCCATAATCTAATAGAATGGTGGAATAAGTTTGCGGGGCTGAATGGACTACTTCTGTTCCTATGTGATAAAATGCAATGAGAATCAGTCATTCTCCAGTACCTTTCATAAGTATCCATTTGTCATCAGTGAGCTTTAATGGTGAATAGTGATAAGCTATTTGACTTCATGGAATATCACCTTTTCTGTTCTCATATGTTGCCCCCAAAATGCACCTTCTAGGAAAAGTTGTGCACTGTGATTCTAAGCAAGAACCCAGGCTGATTTTCCCCTCCTTGACTTATGGGAGTGAGAGACACCAAGGTCAATTATATTGTTCGTATTGCTAACTCATCAAAAATCCAGGATTCAAACATTATGATTTGTGTGACAACACTTGTGGTGCATGAAACCCACTATGTCATTGGAGGATGATCTCACCCATGTTATTAGGGTATAGTTATTTTTAGATCCTCATTGTTCACCATTGAACAGCAAGCGGTAGGGTTCAGGTTACTCATGTTTTTCCTAATCAGAAAAACTTTCTTTAGGTGTCTTCAAGATCAAAGATCCATGTGCTACATAACATTTATGGATGTTAGCAGGGATTTTACGTTGATTGTCACTTGTACAGATCTCAATCCCTCTCTGAGTGATTTGGTATTTTCAATTTCAATGATAATTTCTGTACCTTCCTACTATTTACTCTGTCATTCTGAAGTGTGTTGCATTAGTGAATGACAAAAAAACATTATAACAGATTGTAAACAGCATGTTCTGAGCTGTTGTTTTCCATCGGGCTTTTGAATTGTTTTGTCACTCAGTTCCTCTTGTGATGTTTCCTTTGTTCCTCTTCTCTTTTGCTTCAGTAGTTTTTGTTCTGTGATGTTCTGTAAGCTCTTTGGTGATTTAAGAAATTCTCTAGTTCCACGAAACGCAGCCTGATGCAAAGGGAATACTAATAGTCTTTTTTTTGTTTCTAATACTTTGAAAGATTGGCTCATTTATAATTGGTTCCTATTCTTATTTTGTTTTTCTGTTACACTCGTGGGGAATTTTCTAATGATTTAGTTTAGTTCATTGGGGCAGATGTTATTTCTCTTCTTCCTTCAGGACCTTGGTCATTAAATCATTCAGAGAGAAGCATTATTCTATGTTTTCCTCTGAGTGTTTATTTCTACAAAGCAAGGCATCTATGTTCTCATTTGTAAACATTTGATGCCTTTGTGCCTTGACAGGTGGATATTTGATTACCATTTCATCATTATCATCTTCACAGCTATCCTTTCAGAGAAGGTCTTGCAGATTTTCTATAATTATACATTATAGGTCAGATTCAGGTAGCTGATTGTCAATTTGCACATTAGTATGCCTATCAAAATCATTAGTTTTCTTGTGGTGTGGAGGAGAATATAGCTTAGCTCTCATTATAATGATTTTAGTTATTTATAGTATTCTGATCAGAAGCGAGTACACTGGTTGTCTTGTTTTTTTGCAGACAGAATAGAGGTAACATACGATGCTTTGAAAATACAAAGGACCATTGATGTTAGCACAACCTAATATCTCCAGTTTTAATGCTTTGCAGCATTTAATAAACTACTGTTGTTCCTTAATATGTTGATAACCAAAATATACCAAGACATTGGATCATTTGACTTAAGCAACCTATTAAAATAATGCTGGGTGATTTTGAATTGGTTTATTTGGAAATTTGTCTTATAGACCGCAGGGAATTAAAAAGTACTATGCTTGTGCAAAAAAAACCTGAAGCTGCAAATCAATGAGAGCTAGCAATATCGTCTAAGTTGTAAATTGATTCAAATCGGGAAAATTCAAAGTATCCAACAAATCTCATCCAACATGAACAGTGCTTTTGTTTATGTTCCTACGGTATATAATACGCTGGATTCTAACCATCTGAGAACTTAGGTTATCACACTAATGTAGCAAAGTACAACAACAACAACAATAAATTTGTAAAACGCCTTTCCCGTTGAGAGGATGTTCCAAGGTGCTGAGTGATGTGCTTCCCTCCCCAATTGTTTTTGAAAGACGTGTGGTACTCAAACTTCTGTCAGATGTGTCTGACATGATGAAACCTCTATAGGGATAAATTGGAAGTGTTGCAGCCTTCCAATTTTATTAATAATTGTGTTCTTAAAATGTTTCAAAAATGTAATTAAGCTAAGCATCATCATGACCTACAATTTAAATTAAACTTGAAATCAATTATTTGACATGAATTTTAAATTTTGTCCAGGTTCCACTGCTTGACGAAAAGTATATAAACTTACTGAATGGCTATATGAAAGATAAATTAATACTCACATGATACGGGTTTTCTGCGTTAAATGCAGATGGACTGCCCTCCTCTTCTGGAGCAGTTACGGTTCCTTCGGGTTTTGCCTCCTCAGGTTGAATGTCTGTTACTTCAACATCGACCTCTTCAGGTGCTCCCTCAATCTGATCGTATTCATCAACTACAGCCGGTCTGAAATCACCGTCGTAATGGGGGTCAAGCAACTGACGCCTCTCACGTGCCACTGATCGTTTCTTCCTTTGTTCTTCTGCAAAAAGAGCATTGCAAATTTATTTTTGAGCTTCAATTGTTTCAATGCTACGAAAAATATTCTTGATCTCTGAGAACGGGATCTGAATCCAGAACAAACTGATGGGCTGAAGATTTCCTATCTCCACTGATTGTAAGACCATACATAATGTGAGTTTGGACAGTTCCTAGTGGCACAGTCCACAACCGTAAAACTACCCAGAAGTTGAACAAAACACTAATATTGGCAACTCATTCAAAAAAGCCCTATGAATGAATGCCGGATGTGTGAAATGGAAGAATTCACATGGGAGTGCAGTGCTCTTCTGAAACAAAATAAATCTTAAATGACAGTGCTCAATCATAGCAGCCAGGATCTATTTGTCATACACATTGGGGATTCTGTTTCCCTCAAAATCTGAGACAGCTAATACAGGCATACACACATGGGTCGCTGCACATGGCGTGGTCCCAGAGTAATCAATGGAAATATATGTGAATAAAAATTAGGCTGCACATATTGGGGGAGAAAATGCAGTATATTCTGTCTGGATCTGTAAGTTTAAAAACTCTAAGTCACAAATAGAGATTCCTGATGGATCTGTAGCTATTACCCTTGTTGTCTTGGCTTATGCAGGTAGATAGCTAGAAGACATTTTTATTGCATGTCGAGAGGGTTTGATATTTTCATGCTTATTGATGGTTGAAGCATTGTGATGGCTCCAGCACAAGGTTAGATCTCGACCAAGAGAGAATGGGATTCAATCGCTATAGCCTAATTTATCTTTGTATGGGTGTAAGTTCAGCGTGTAAATAATAGCATAACTACAAATATCAAAGGGTTTTGGAAAGGGCAGGTAAATGGGGTTAAAACACATAACACTTTCAGAGAGCCAGCAGAGGCACGATGGGCTGAATAGCCTCCTTCTGTGCTGTAAATTTCTATTGTCTTTATCCATTTCTGTTGGCAGAAAGTAAAGTCAGCTACATTTGTCTGGTCTGTAACATTTCCAAACACCGATATTCCTCACTTGATTAAATCACTATATAAGTATATATATCGAGGAATAGCATTCTTTTTGAAAACTTCTTTAATCTTCATGTAATGTTCATTTATCTTTGAGAAATGCGGTAGCATTTCTGGAGCAAATGTCAAAAATGGGATAAGATTGATAGTTTATTCTCAGAATCTCATACCTCTAGCTTTAAACTCTACAGCTTAATTTGCATTGCACAAAAACTTCCGCCGACATGGACTTTTGGTTTTAGGTTGAATCTGTTTTAGTCCCCAGTTTATACTGTCAAAAAACAGTAGGGAAGCAATTTTCTGAATTTACACTTGTGACAACAGTTTTTGCATCAGCCTTTATGCCAGTGTTCTAACAACATCAGTGTCAAACTGGTATAAATCATGCATCACAAATCATGCTTCATTCACAGGGAAATCACAGTTTCACAGGGAAACTTGCAATAGAAATCATTTTTTGTTGCAGATGAAAAAAGGTCTATATTTGAAAGCAGGGTCAAAGTACTCAATCTCTGAAAATACTGAGAATAGGTCTTTCCTGTCACTGTCATTCTAAAGAAGCATTAAGTGGCATCAAGGTTTCATCCGGACATGGTGCAGTTTCCTTCAAAGAACCATTCAATGTAAGCCAATTGGAATTAAATTATTGTACAAGTCCGTCTTTTTTTACTGTGACTGATAACTCTAGTGCAAGGACTCTGATTAAATTGTAAAATTAGTGGAAAGAGGACACTTCTATCAAGCTGAGGTCATATTTAATAAAATATATTACATGTATAGATGTAAATGACCTCATATAATAACGTAGGAACTCAATTTAAAGTTTTTCAAGAGTGAAAATAAAACGTACATATAGAAAGTAGATTTGTTTTTGGAGAAGAAAAATGATAATCAGCAACGTGATAAAGAAAATGTCAGTAAAAGGGAATTAATTGTGGTTCTACAATAGGGTTAAGTCAAGTTGTTTTTCAGACAAAATGGTTTGGATTACTAGAACATTTATAGTTTGTTTTATATAACAAAAGAGAATTGTCCTGCTCCAAGTAGAAAGTTTGTTGCTGTGGGCTAAAGGTTATTCGGTTTCTTTCAAATCATTTAATGAATTTTCCCATGTAAATTTATAAATAATTATAATGTGCATTATTAAATTTTACATTTATTGTATCACGGTTATCAATTTAATATTGAAAGGAGAAATTAAAACTTAGCCAATGCTCCAGTTCTCAGGACTCACTGTTAATTGCTAAGGGAAGAATTAGCAGCTAACCTATAGCTGAAAGTTTCCAGGTATCCATCTGTCTGTCAAACCTGAATATGGCAGCCATTATAGAATCCCACTATAAAGACGTGGTGAAAAGATTTCCTTTTTGAGTCATCAACTTTTGTTGGATCCTATCCAGGGTTGCCAATTCTGGTTAGACATTCCTCTGGGGGGAATGGTTGCTATCGTCATGTGAGAGAGATTAACTTTACGGATGCATCATAAAGTGAGACAATAATGACTTTACAGTCGCGTCATAAGTGTTGCAAAGTCCCTATAATGTCCCTAAATTCCAAGAATTCCCTATGATTTTTCTCCTGGGTAATTCACAAAGATTCTAGGACAATCTAAGAGGGTTGGAACCCAAATCCCATCATACCTTTTTCTCATGTTCCCTTGGCATAACTGATAATATTGTTCTGTTATTTATTTCCTGTAATGTACCTTGTATATCACTGTAAAGGTCCGTGTTATGATCATATGTTTAAAGAACCAACATTTTGGACTGAAACAAACCCTGCACTGGTATGTTAGCAGATCTGCGACAGCAGATGGTGCTTGTTGCTTCACTGGTTACCTTTTGTGTATGTTGGACGAAGCCAGTAAATAGGGAGATCACTGCACAACTCCAAAATCTTGGGGCTCAAGAAGCTGTGGTCTTTAACTGGTTGTTCTGCTGCCACCCAAATAAGAGACTCTTCCTCAAACTTTGCAGGCATGATTTCATCTTCCTAAAGAGGGCAACATCAAAGGTGTCACATTTTGTCTATTGACTGTAAATGCGAATACGGGTTATCAAAAGAATAGCTATTTGAATGAGGAAGACAGCTGGCACCTGTAAAACTTTACCTGGCCTGAGTCAGCACTTCTAACAGAAGATGAGTATTTAAAAAAAGGGCAACATTCTTCCATTCATTTACACTACTCATAATTCTATTATTAATATCTTATTTGTGGAGTCCTGTGGTTCAGTGGTTAGAGCACTCAACAACAATAACAACAAAATTACACTTATAGAGCGCCTTTCACGTCGGGAGGATGTCCCAAAGTGCTGAACATGGGGAGGGGTGGTTTAGGGGTGAGGGAAGGCAGAGAGGTGGGAGGGAGACCAAAGGCACGGTCGAAGAGAAGGGTCTTGAGACTGGCCTTGAAGGAGGCAAAAGAGGAAGCGAAGCGAAGGGACCGTGAGATGGAGTTTCAGAGTGTGGGGGCAGAGAGCCTGAAAGCCCGGCCACCGATGGTAGGGCGGATCGGGCGGGAGACATGGAGCAGACCAGAACCTGATGAATGGAGACAGCGGGCAGGTTGGTAGGGAGTCAGCAGGTCAGAGAGGTAGGAGGGGGCAAGGCCATGGATGGCCTTAAAGGTGAGGACGAGGATCTTGAACACGCAAGCGAGATACCCGAGTTCGATACCTGGCAGGGCAAAATGTTGGGCACGTTTCCTTTGTTTACCTAGCAATAAGTAGGAACAAAATGCAAAATATTGCAAATGCTGGAAATCTGAAACAAAAACAGAAGTCTCTGGGAACTCTGAGCAGATCAGGCAGCATCTATGGAGAAAGGAAAGTGAGTCAACATTTCGGGTCCATGACCCCTCATTAGAACTGGGGCATGTTGAGATGGAGAGGCTTTTAAGGGCTAACAGAGAGGAGGAAGGCAGGGCAAGGAAGACAAAGGAGAAAATGGGGAGAGGACAGGGGATGATGGGTTAAAGAGGTGTTAATGATGCAAAACAAAGGGGGAGTGCAACAAAATAAGTATATCAGAGAGAAAAGTTGTATCTGGGACCCAGGTGATGAGGTAATGGTCACAGAAGAGGGGGAGGGGGACGGTGAGCTGTTATGGTCTGAATTTGTTGAAATCAATACTGAGGCCAGAGGGCTGCAAGGTCCCTAGCAGATAAATAAGGTGCTGTTCCTCGAGCTTGCGCTGTGGCTCATTGGAACAGCGGTAGGAGACCATGGATGGAGAGGTCAGAGTGCGAGTGGGAGGGAGAGTTGAAGTGGCAAGAAACTGGAAGCTAAGGGTTGAACTTGCGGACAGAATGGACGTATTTGGCAAATCGGTCACCCAATCTGCGTTTCGACTCCCCAATGTAGAGGAGTCCACATCGTAAGCAGCGGATACAGTAAACTATATTGATGGTAGTACACATAACTTGTCTGTGTTTGGGGCCCTGGACAGTGGTGTGGGAAGAGGTGAAAGAGCAGGTATTGCATCTCCTGCGCTGGTATGGGAAGGTGCTGGGGGGAGGAGAGCAACTATTGGCAGGAAGTAGTAACCTGGTTGTTAGTCGATTGGCGGATCGCTTTTCCAGGGGTAATAACTCCTTCAAAAAATAATAATAATAAATTGGTCACTCAATCCACGACTGTTTGTGGGACACTGCTGTGTGCAATTGGCTGCCACGCTTTTCCCACAAAAACATACAGTCAATTCACTTTACAATATATTCTATGAAGCGCTTTGAGATGTCTCGAAGACTTGGTAAGGCGCTATACCAAATGCATGAATTATTATTATTTATGTCTTGTATTTTTAAAACATGTCCTGTTTGTTTACAATTAAAAATGCAGTTTGCAAAAACACAATGATTTATGTAATGTCTCACATCAGCAACTTTACACAGCAAGACAGATACAACAAACACAAACAATGATCGATCTTTCAGCTCAAATTGGTAACTGGTTTACTAGACCTAAATACTGGGCTGTTTTTCTTTTTTCCCTCTTAAGATGACACTTCCAGAAATAGCTAGACTACATCGATGATACCACATGATGGTGCTGTTGGCACAAGGCTGAGATCTGCATGGCTTAACTGGTGAATGTGACTATCCTGGCACTATCATCAAACTCTGTTGTGCATCAAAGACAGGTTCATACTGAAGTTGCTGCACATATCATTCTCGCTCACTTACATAAGGGCACAGCTATTGTGCAGAAAAGATAAAGTTCCACCTTTTGTTAACCCATTTCTTCAAGAAAAATTCTTTAATCTAATTGATTGATGAGAGATTTCTGAATGTTCCCCTCAGGCATCTCTGGAAAGGGAGTCGATGGAACATCTTGTGAAAAGGGCACCTTGCGTTGCTTAGACAGGCATATAAATATGTCTTGTCTTGCTTAAAGGTCTTATATTAATTCCCAGAAGTAAGATGCCAGCTGTTGGTACTTTATGCAATCCTATGCAATGAAAAGTTTAAGTAAAGAAATATTAATTCAGTTTCACTTGCGTAACTGGATTTCGTATATGGAGTGAATCTTTACTGTTTTTGAGTGTAAACTATTACATTACATTCATGTATAAAATATAGGCTGTGCCAGTATTTGTTAATTCTACAATATAAGTAGATTAATTTGTTTAGTCATAATTTTTGAAAACGTCAAATTAGGTCTTAACAGCGCAGAAGATTGATGTTCATTACAGTAACATTTTCAAATACACAACAAAATTATTATTCATTTTGCTGTAAAGTGGGTATAAATGATCACAGACTCGCATTTTTTCTGTTTTCCTTCTTACACCCTGGAGGTGAGAAGATTGAGAGGGGATGTGATACAGGGGTATAAAATTGTGAAGGTGTTGGATAAGATGAATAAATAGGCTGTTTCCAATTGTTAGTGAGTCCATAACAGGAACAAAAATATAAGATAGCCACTAAGAGATCTAAAACAAAGTTTAAAAGGAACATGTTTTACAATTGATGCTGGTTAAAATGCAGAATTTACTGACAAACCCTTGGTTGAAACAGAAAACACCAATGCATTTAAGAGGAAACTCAATGGATACATGAGGGAAAAGGGAAGAAAGGGGTATAAAAGGAGAGTTTTAGGATGTGTAGACACTCAGACTAATTGAGTCTAAGGGCCTGTTTTGGTGCTGTGGATTCTATGTAATTCTATCTACTATTGATAAATGATTATAAAATGCAATGTCAAATTGTGGGATCCAAGCTTATACAATTTACTCCTATTTCTTAAAATCTCTATAGATAGTGGAATGATTTATAAACAAGTATTTCATACCAATATGTATTTTTAGAATACTATATAATACATATAGGGGACACTTTATTCTAATGTTTTGAATTATATTTATGGTAATATTTGATATTAAATATTTTGGTTGCAAAAAGAGATTTGCTCATGCCATGGCAATCAAGCTGCATTTGTTGATCAGGACAGCAAATGTACTGTTTTCCTGTTAATGTTGTCAAATTTAAGAGAGTTAGATAAAGTCAATGCTTGTTGCTGGAAACTCTGTTATGGAACTGAATTGTGAGTGCAGTTTCATAATTTCCACTGTCAGGATATTTGAAGGATAATGTCCAAGAAAGACTTAATTTCATAGAAATGGCTATCAGGTTTACCTAATCTTGAACACCTCAGATTTAAAATTACATTTACCTGCATTTTACCATTTTACTTAAGAATGTTCCAGCAACAAGCATTGGAAACAAAAATTGACAGGTAAAACGGTAAACGAGCAATAGGAGGCTTTCAAGGAGGAGATAGTTTGGGGACAGACCAAACACATTCCTATGAGGGGGAAAGGTAGGGCATCCAAAGCTAGAGCTCTCTGGATGACTAAGGAAATTGGGATTAAAATGAAGCAGAAAAAGGAGGCTTATGATGAACATCAGGTTCAAAATATATTAGAGAATCGAGTAGAATACAGAAAGTGCAGAGGAGAACTGAAAAACAAAATAAGAGGGGCAAAAAGAGTCTATGAGAAAAGATTAGCGGGTAAGATAAAAGGGAACACTAAAGTCTTCTTTAAACATATAAAGAGTAAAAGGATCATCAAAAGAAGGGTGGGGCTGATTAGGGACCAAAAAGGAAAACTTCTTGTGGAGGCAGAGGGCATGGCCGAGGCACTGAATGAATACTTTGCATCTGTCTTCACAAAAGAGAATGCTGCCAATGTCACAGTAAAAGAGGAGGGGGTAGAAAAATTGGATAGGATAAAAAGATAGAGAGGTGGTATTGAAAAGGTTAGCAGGACTCGAAGTAGAAAAGTTACCCAGGTCTGGATGGGATTCCTCCTAGATTGCTGAGGTAAGTTGGGGTGGAAATGACAAAGACTCTGGCCACAATCTTCCAATCCTCCTTGGGTATGGGAGAAGTGCCTGGGGACTGGAAGGTTGCAAATGTTACACGTCTGTTCAAAAAAGGGGACAGGAATAAACCTGGTAACTATGGGCCATTCAGTCTAACATCAATGGTGGGGAGACTTCTAGAGACCATAATTGGGTACAAAATTTGTTTTCAATTGGAAAAACATAAGTTAATTAATAAAAGTCAACACGGATTTGTTAAAGGCAAACCGTGTCTGACATACTTAATTAAGTTCTTTGATGAAATAACAGAGAGGATTGATGAAAGTAGTGCAGTTGATGTAGTCTTTATGGACTTTCAGAAGGTGTTTGATAAGATGCCATGTAATAGATTAGTTAGCAGAATTAAAGCCCATGGGATAAAAGAGACAGTGGCAGCATTATTATAATTATATTTCTGGGCACCACACTTTAGGAAGGATATCAAGGCCTTGGAGAGGTTGCAGAGGAGATTTATCAGAATGGTACCAGGGATGAGGGACTTTAGTTTTGTGGAGAGATGAGAGAAGCTGGGATTGTTCTCCTTAGAACAGAGAAGATTAAGAGGAGATTTAATAGAAGTATTAAAAATTATGAGGGGTTTGATAGAGTATAGTAGAAGGAACTGTTTTCACTGGCATTCCCCATGTTACCTGTCAGTAACCCGGGTACATATATTTAAGAAAATTGGCAGAGGGGAGATGAGGAGAAAATATTTTGCAGAGAGTTGTTTCATTCTGGAATTCACTGATGGAAACAGATTCAATAACAACTTTCGAAAGGCAATGGGATAGGTACTTGAAAAGGAAAAAATTGCAAGGATATGGAGAAAGAGCAGGGGTGTGGGACTAATTGAGTAGCTCTTCCAAAAAGCCAGGACAGACACAATGGGCCGAATGGCATCCTTCTAAGCTGTAATATTCTATGCTTCTAAGAAAAATAGGGTTTACCATGATTTTAAACCAAGAGGTAAACTGTTTCTCTTAAGTATGATGCTGAATTGTTCTCCCCCTGTGAATTTAGGATAGGTGAATAATATTTTGATGGTGTTTCATTGATCATGAGTGATATATTTTTTCCTGAAGAGAATAAGTCCAACCACAAGAAGGAAACCTATTAGGGCTGCATATATCATGCACTATATAAGGGAAACTAATACCCCTTAAGAAAATGTCTTCATGGTTACAGTATTGCTATTCTTCTTGTTGATAAATGTGTCCTGGGTAATGTTCTGCAAGCTTGAATTGATTTTGTTACAGTTAAAATTTCTAACTTTTCAGTATTTAACTTTCTGCTCTTTGCATTTGATATTGCACCTTTCACGTCAGGAAGATGTCTCAAAACACTGCCCAAGATTTGTTGTAAAGTGTAGTGACTATCCCACAAACAGCTATAAAATTAATCACTTTTTTTAATCTTATCTTGGGAATTGTAGGCCAGGACACTGGAAGAAACTCTCTTCTCTTTCCAAGAAGTACCCTGGGATGCTTCACATTCACCCGAACAGACAGATTTAAAGTCTTATCCAAAGAATGGCACCTCTGACAACGCACTGGAGTGTCAGTCTAGACTATATGAGTTCAAAGTCCCAACATGAAGCTTGAATAGAGAGATTTACTCTATTAACGTAGCATTTCAGAAATTGTCAATATCTAGAATTTCTATGAAGAAGGCCAGTAGACCTATTTGATCTCCTGTACACAGAATGTCCACCCGATTGTTTTCCCATCACAGCATCAAGCTGGTATGTAAATTAGTTACAAAATCTCATGGTCTCCTACTCTGTGGTTAGTTTGATACAATTTCACTGCACCAAATTTTGCATCTCTCAATAAGATAGTGTACATTCTGGCAACAGCTACGGTCTGCAGGTGCTGATTTTTGGAAAATTATTTGGCAGACTTGTCCCCCTTTCCCTCAGGCCATGCTATTCATGCTGTGGAATGCCATTAACTCTCCTGAGTCGATTCTTTTGAAAGGTAAAGGTATTTTCAAGAGATGCTGAAGTACTTTTTCTTGCAACTGATTGCTGTCAAAGCAGTATTAAGTTATTAGATTGAAAGCTGTAGTCTGATTATAGTCTATGTGCTAGACTGCAGTCAGAATACAAGTTGCAGAACTGACAGGCTTCAGTGAAGCATAGATGAAATCAACTTACATGACAATTCTGAGGTAAACTGTCTCGTATTAAATAGCAATATTGAAGTATTTTGAATTCATTTTGCTTCTGAGTCACTGATTAAATGACTGCAATATTAAATAGAAACATTATGGAAATGTTTATATCACATTCGCGCCTGATTTATTTTGGCATTCAAATATCAATAAGTTAATTCTTCCCTGAAAGTAAATTGAGATAGACAGGCTAAATTGATCTTTACTTTCTTACTGAAGCGTTGATTGGGAGGTAATCGGCAACCTGCTTAACCCACTCTATTTCTACCTAGGGTCAGCCAAATGACAGAATATAAAAATAATTCTTGCAATATAATAATGATAGGTTAACAGAGGCGTGTGGAATAAGGAAACTTGCCCACCATTTCCCCCTTGCCGGGAATCAAACCCAGGTCTCTCGCTTGCGAAGCGAGTGTTCTAACCACTGAACAATATAACAATAATAGTAGCAATTCACAATGTAAATTTCACTTTAATAAAGATTGAGATATTGTATTTTCTCCTATTTGTGATATATGTAGAATATAAATGCTTGTTGAATTACGTAGATGCAATAATTCTTTGTGAAGTTATGGGGTGCAATAATAAGTTTTTTTGTATAAACTTGAAGGTTTTCACTTTCTACAATCTGTTCTACCCTGTTCAAATACTGGAAAAATTTTCAGACGCAAAAACAATCAATATTTTGTTGATAGAAGTGCCCTGAATCTCTGGAATTCCTTGTCTCAACCCCTTATCTTGCCTCCTCTTTGCCAATCTTCAAATCGCACCTGAAGACTTTTCCCTTCAACTGTGCCTTCAGCTACCTCCCTTTCCTTCCCAGCTCGGCATCAAAAAGTATTGTTATTAAGTCCTCAGACGCTACCTATATGAAGGACACTATAAATGCAAGTTGTTGTTGTAGAGAACAAATGACATTCCTACTATTCAATACTTCCTGTTTTTAATTTGTACTAAATTATAGTTGCCACCAGCAGTTTTATCCACAATGAAGCAATTATTTTGTTTTGATCAGCCGGCTATCTATCTGTCATATTCGGAAACCCGTCACCATGCTTAAGAATGTCCAAACCAGACAGAGTTCCATATTTGCCATGAAAATGTCTCTCTATCTCAAATGTGCAATCTCTCCTCAGAGGGATGCACTTTGCTTACCTAAATGTCAAAACTGAAACTAGTTGCCAATAAATATCACAACCAAACCCAACACTAACATTCACCTGACCTTTTGACACACACTTCCAACAGATCGTTGGATTGGCATCAGGACTGCTACCACGGCCAATCTGTCCCTCCCTAAACCAGACTGCCACAAAAGAAAATTGTCCAACAATCAGGTCCACTCTTAACCATGGCTCGATTTATTTCTGTCCCTATTCCATGTGGGTTCTGTTAAGGAAAGTGCATTACGTGCCACAACATTATCATGTATGATACTCGCGAACATGTGCCAAGTAAATTCCGGACGAGACCTGTGAAAAGCACAAGTTAAACTTAGGTTAGAAATGTCACGTCTCATTGTTTCTACCTCCACCTTTACTTCTCTTACTGCTTCGGGCACAAAGTAAATGGGCCACAAAATGTTGGCTTTCCTTGTCCCACCTGTACCTCATTTGCATTCCAGTTGTTCTACTAATTAGCCTGGGTGGGCTGGGTTGCTAATAATAACTAAGAAGGAATAAATGCAATATATCATAAAAACTCATTTCAGGTCAGATTCACTGCACGATTGCCCGGTGGCTAATAATGATGGCAACTATTCTGAGCTTTATTTGTCTTTGCAGTCTCTTCTTTCACTTGTCTTCTTTCACTTGAGACATTCCATTGCAAATTAGCTTCCTTACCTATCCCAACATTAACATTCACAGAATGGCAACCAGGTTAGATGCTTTACTGAATCTGAATGTCACACTCAAAAGGAAAGTCTTTCCCTAGAACAAGTGAATCTCCCATTGAATGACAATAGCATGGGATTGAAGTCTGCGGAAATGAATGAACTGATTTCACACATTCCTCCAGCTGATGGATGCCTGGTGGAGTTGGGCAACAATGTCTCCAAGTAACGTTTTGATTAATATGTGACTTTTTTTATATAAACGAATGGTCTGAAATGCTGTACACTGTCCAGCGCCTTGGGACGTCCTCCCAACGTGAAAGGCGCTATACAAATGTAATCTTGTTGTTGTTGTTACCTTTGTCATACTCTTGTAAACCTGTGGAAGTTTTAAAAATCTACATTTGAAAACCTACTAGCTCAAAAGAAACAGCCTCTGTTTTCAAAGACTCAATATCTGGAAGATGTGCTTTAGCTTGTGCCTTGATGTAGCATTTCTCCCCTCCAGCAAAGTGGATTCCTGTAATTCCCTGCAACACAGAAACAAGGTACAGTTGAATAGTCCATATAAACACGTTTAAATTAATAACACGGTTTCCCCTCTTATTGTTCTGAAACATACCACAAAGTACAGTCAAACCTGTTGAAGGAACTGCTTCCATTCAACAACCACTCCCTGTTAACATCCACCCTGAACAGTCTGGACAGCCCAGTTCGCACACTAATGAACCTTTACTCAGAGTCCACCTTATAAAGGCCACTCTGGCCCAATCCCCTGAAAGGTTGTTGAAGACAGGATTGACTGTATGTAAAAAGTAATATATTACTATTTACTTCTGCGAGCTATCTAGTTCATGTGGTTCCCAAGGATACATATATAATATGTGCGTGTGTGTGTGTGCGCGGGACACGAATACAAACACAAGAGATGTGTTTATGCCAGGCATTGGATAGTTGGAGCATTGCATCCAATTTTGAACACCCAATATAGAAAGGAGACGACAACAACTACAAAGGAAATCTTGCAGGAATTGAAAAATTTGGATCATTTTAAGTGGAAGAGGGTCAAAGGGGATTGTAAACAAAGTTCTTAAATTATAAACAGCAGACTATTTGCACTGCGAGTTTGTAATCAAAAGGTGGCTTAAACTGAGGATTATCAGAAGAAGTAAAAATGAGGTGAAGCTTTTTATGTATACAGAGTTTACAGAACAAAAATGGCTGTCGTAACCACATCCATAACAGCATTTAAAATGGAATTAGATAAATATATAAGGGAAATTATTACCAAAGGATAGATATGGAGAAGGAACAGGGAATGGTAGCAATACCAATTAACTTCATAGGAGGAGATAGCACAAGCATAAAACATGTTAGGCCAAATGGCATCCTTCTGGGCAGTGAACATTCTATGATTGTAACGTGGCCATGAGGATCAGCTAAGAGACCTTAAACTTTCTGATTCTTAAACAATCAGGAAACTGAATGAGTACACAACTAATGTTTCCTTACTTTTCAAAATTGTGAATTGGGCCAATTAATTTTGGCTCCAAACAATAAACTATGAATAATAATCACATCTGTAAATTAAATATTATTCCTATAAAATCATTGACTATGTGAAAAGGATGAAGCTAAATTGATCAAACATTACATTTTAATGGACAAGTAATTTATTTCTAGAACAAAATAACAAATTTCTGCACAATATCTAGATTGAGAAAGAATTTCTAAAATCATTATAAAAAATAACAAAACATAACAGAAGTCAAAAAAATGGATTTAAGAATATTAAACTATTGCAGTTTTTCAAACTTTTCAATGTCATTGTTTAATGAAAACAGTACATAATTTGCTCCAAAACCTGTGTTGGCAGAAGTAAACTGCTAAAAAAAACTTGCAACTTACAGTCTGAAAATCATGAACTTCAACTGCCTCTTCATTCCCACTTCCAGTTCTGAAGGTCTCGAGATTATTTTCAGTATCAATTTCCAATGAACCTTCCTTTACCTTTCCATTGATGCTCATGGTGTAATGCATATTGTACACCTGCAATCAAATAAATGCCATTATTATTAACAATATAAAGGGTAAAAAGCATGCCAAGAACCTTTCAGTTAAGTAATCCTTGCATTTTATGATTTATTATATCCATGCTTTTCTATATAAGAAATAGATGGATAAAATCAACATTTCTTTTGCTATTGTAATTTCATTGGTGTGTGATATATTAATTATACTCCTTGCATTTGATGTAAGTGCCTTATCACGTTGCTGAGACATCTTAAAATACTTGGTGCAGCTGCTGCCTTGTATGTCTATCCATTACATTTTACAAACTCACCATATTTATCCAAAATAGTTGGTAATGTGTCCTGAGTGGTGGTGATGTTGGCAACTCTCATTGGAAAACTGTGAATCAGTTTACTTTATTTGCGTGCTGTTGGGCAGGTTTTGAAACATAAAATGTCAGATTTCCTAAATGAGATGGTGCAGTAATTCAGGACATGAATCAAAGTGTTTCAGCTAATAAACCACAACACTCTGGCCACAAACAGGTTTCCCTGCTTTATAGCAAATAACATAATAAATCATATTATTCATGTATTATTGATTAATTTTGAAGGTTTCTTTTTAACTGAACTGAAAAATGTATCCACATTGGAGGAACAGTTTAGGATATTTAATGGGTTTATTGCTGAAGATTAATTTACCCTTAATAGAACTAAAAGATTTTTTTTTCCATTTCTTACATTTCACTCTTTGGAACACTTAGTTCAAATAGCAGAAGATGTGTATAATTCAGGCATATTTGAAGGTCATGTTTCATCAAAATACTGCAACAGAGTCTGGGCAAGCGACAGAGACAAACAGCTGAATTGTTCTTCTGCCAAAGCACCTGAAAGCAGATCTAGTGAAGAAAGCCCAGCAAAGGAAATTATTTCCTTCACTTTTGTATATATTTTTAGGAGATGCATCCTTTGTAGCATTGAATCAGTTCTTAAATTATTAAGCATTTTTAACCACTGACAATTGGATTGAAAATTGTATTGCTCTCATTGGTTGAAGCAATACAATTCTTTCTTCACTAGATCTGCTTTCAGGTGCTTTGGCAGAAGAACAATTCAGCTGTTTGTCTCTGCCACTTGCCCAGACTCTGTTCAGTGTTTCCAGGATAAATGGAAACATTTTGACCCATGAATTTAAAACCTTCAAATTAAAATATATGTGCCCTATTTTGCTTTAGGATACCAGTCTTTAAGAAGGGTGTTATTTTCTTGTATGTATACATTATACACAATTGCTTCATGAGATTCTAACTGTGAGGATATCCTAAGGTTAGAAACATCTCTGTGATTACCACTAATCTCAAATTAATCAAAATCACTGCATGATATTCCTCTCAAGAATAGAATATTGCAGTGTTGTAATATTGCATTAGATAATCTACATTAGGATGAAAAGATAATGTAAACACATCTATACCTAAATTAAGACATGATGCCCATATTTAGAAATAATTCAATTATTTTGTTCCCACAGCGTGCATTCTTAATGAAGGTATGATTACTGATATAAAGCCTATTTCAGCGCTCATGCATATTGTTGCATAATATCTCTGAATATCATGCACCAGATCAGCTCATGATTATTTATTTCAATAAAGCATTCAACATAACAAATTTAAACTGTTATAGTTCTTTACATAAATGTTGGGAAGGTAATTACCATCAACACCATGAACAACAACAACTTGGATTTATATAGCACCCTTCATGCCGGATGGCGTCTCAAAGCTCCAAGCCAGGGGGAGGGGGAGGAAGGTGACCAAAGACGCGGTTGAAAAGAAAGGTCTTTAGCAGAGACCTGAAAATAGGAAGGGAGGGAGCGAGGCGAAGGGAGTGAGGAAGGAAGTTCCAGAGCCTCGGGGCATAGGGTGGAGCGGAGGACTCGGGGGACGAGGAGGAGGCCAGACCCGGAGGAATGAAGGCAACGGGTACTGTTTTGAGGAGAGAGGAGGTCAGAGAGGTATGGAGGAGTGCAGGGACTTGAGCACAAGGCTGAGGATCTTGAAATCGATCCTCTTTGGGCCAGTGCAGTCTGGCAAGGACTGGGGTGATCGGGGAGCTGAGATCCATGCGGGTGAGAGTGCGGGCAGCAGAGTTTTGAATGATTTGGATTTTATGGATGGTAGTGGATGGGAGGCTGGCGAGGAGGGCGTTAGAGTCGTCCAGCCAAGAGGTGACAAAGGCATGGATTTCATGCCTTTGACAAAGGCCAGGGTTTCAGCGGCTTTTGGAGTGAGGTATTGGCAGAGATGGGCGATGCGTTGGAGGTGGAATCAAGTGGTGCTGGTGAGGGACTGGATGTGGGGGAGGAAGGATAATTGGGGGTCAAACCTGATGCCGAGGTTGCGTACAGATTCGGAGAGTTTTAGGGGGAGGTCGAATAGGTGGAGGAGGTGAGAGCCGTGAGATTTTAGACGTTGATGAGAGCCAAAGAGTAGGGCTTCTGTCTTATCAATGTTCAGCTGAAGGAAATTTGCTCTCATCCAGCTCCTGAGGTCTGACAGGCAGGCTGACAGGACATCAGGGGACTGGGGGTCGTAAAGTGAGGTGGAAAAATAGAGTTGGGTGTCGTCTGCATACATGTGGAAGTGTAAACCATGTCTGTGGATGACATCCCCAAGAGGGAACATATAGATCAGAAAGAGGAGAGGGCCAAGGATGGATCCTTGAGGTACCCCGCAGGGGACCGGGTGAGAGCGGGAGGAGAAGCCGTTTATGCAGATGTACTGCTGGCGGTTCGTGAGGTAGGACTTGAACCAGGCGAGTGCGGTCCCACTGAGGTGGATGACGGAGGAAAGGCAGTGGAGGAGGATGGCGTGATCGACTGTGTCGAACACGGCGGAGAGGTCCAGGAGGACAAGGAGGCAGAGGGAGCCCTGGTCACAGATAGAGAGGATGTTGTTTGTGACTTTCACAAGCGCAGTCTCTGTACTGTGGGTGGAAACCGGACTGAAGGGGTTTGAAGAGGGAGTGGGAGGAGAGGTGTGCGCGAAGTTGGTTGGCAACAACGCATTCTAGAACTTTTGAGAGGAAGGGCAGGTTAGAGATAGGGCGGTAGTGGCTGGGGTTTGAGGGATTAGGAGGGTTTTTTCAGGAGGGGGGTGATGACAGCAGTTTTGAGGGAGGCAGGGACTGATCCGGAGGAGAGTGACTGGTTGATGACATCACCCAGTAGTGGGCAGAGGAGGGGGAGCTGTGTGATCAGCAAGTTGGTGGGGAGGGGATCGAGGCAGCAGGTAGTGGTTTTCATGGAGGTGATGGTGGGTGCGAGGGAGGAGGGAGAGATGGGGAGGCAGGAATGTAGAATGGGGGTGGTGGTAGGAGCAGACGATGGGGAGGGTGAGCGGTCAGAGAGGGCGTGGTGGTGGGTGACAAGGGGCAGGTGGATGAGGCTGCCTGGCGGATGTTAGGTATTTTAGATGAAAAGAAGTCCATGACCTCCTCGCACTTGGCATTTAATACGAAGATTGAGGAGGCCTGAGAGGGGGCACTGTTAAACAAGATTGCTACTGTGTCCTTTATCATAATGATACCAATAGGCTTTATGAGGTTTTGGCAGAAAACAATGGAAAACAAATGGGGAAAAGGAATAAATAATAAAATAGTAAGATAAATAAATAATAAAGTAAAGGAATTTGGATGGCACAAAATCAAATACTCCCTTGGACTTATTTTTAACCTCTTTTTATCATAAAATAATCCTTACATTTGGCATAGTATCCTTCACGTTAGGAAGATGTCTCGAAGCATTACACAGAATTCACTGTAAAGTGTAGTGACTGTAAAATCTCCATCCATCCCTCTCAGCTGCCTTGGAGTCATCTGAACTTCTTCCCCTCTGGACTTCCTCCTACAATGATCTATCCTCCTCAGTCACTCTTCTCCACAGCTCCCTTTCCTCCATTCTCAATTCCCTTGCTCACCTCTCTTCCCGAACCGTCTACTATTCACGTAAGTCGCCATGGTACACCAGCCACCTCCGCTCCCTTAAAGCACAGGTGTGTGCCGCTGAACACACCTAGCTTAAATCAAACTCAACGGTCCATTGGCAGATCTGGCTGGACCTTATCAAATCTTATCGCTCCACCCTCGCCTCTGCTAAATCGTCGTTCTACTCCAAGACAATCTTGGAGGTCAAGGACCAGCCCAGGCTCCTCTTCTCCATTATCAACTGGCTCCAATCATACCTCGCCCATCCTTACCTTCAATGCCAACTGTGAGGTGATGCTGGACTTACTCAAATCCAAAGTTGAGGAGATTCGATCAGCTGCCTCTGCCATTTGGTCTGCTACACTCTCCCCCTCCCACCGGGCCCCTACCCATCCCTCCCACCTCACCTTCGAACCTGTCTCCCATTCCTCTCTCACCACCACATGATACCGACCAACTGCTCCATCGACCCCATCCCTACCCCTCTCCTTATCTCCCAGCTCCGCCTCATTGCCCCTCAACTCACTGACATCATAAACTTCTCCCTATCCACTGGAACCATTCCCATCTCATTAAAAAACACTGTCATCATTCCTATCCTTAAAAAACCCTCCCTGGACCCATCTCCACTCTCAAAACTACTGCCCCATCTCCAACCTCCCTTTCTTCTCCAAGGTCCTGGAATTAATTGTTGCTTCCCAGTTTCGCTCCTTCCACTCCCACGACTCCCTTCACGAACCCTTCCAATTGGGTTTCCATGCCACCCACAGCACATAACATCCCTGGTCAAAGTGACAAATGACATTCCGTCCATCTGCTACCAGGGTTCCCTCTGCCTCCTCGTCCTCTTTGACCTCTCTGCTGCCTTCGACACCGTCAACCACTCTATCCTCATCCACCGCCTCTCCTCTCACCTCAACGTTCATGGCTCTGTCCTTGACTGGTTCAGATCATACCTCTCACACTGCCTCCACTTCATCTCCACAAATGGTTTCTCCTCTAGCTCCCATACCATCTTGTGCGCATTCCTCAGGGCTCTGTCCTTGGTCGCCTCCTCTTCAATGTTGTTATTTGAGAGGAAATGTGGCAACCAATTTGAACACAGCTATATCCCATAAACAGCCAATACGTGAATATTCATTTTTATCTAGTGGATTGTTGGCCAGGGCACAGTAGAAGCTCCCTCCTCTTTTCAAATCCTATCATCAGATGTTACGTTTGGATAGTGCCATAGGAACCTTGGTTTAACTTGTCATCTGAAAGATGGTATCTCCAACAATGCAGCACACCCCGGCGTTGTATTGGAGTATAAAAGGAGTATCAGCTCAGATGGTGAATTCAAAGCCCTGAACCCATAGATTCTGACTCAAGGGGAGAGATGTACCAACAGAGACAAGCAAACACCTGCTCAGCTGTATGTTTTAATACAATTTAACATTCATATGTTACAAAAATTAGAAAGTAACAGTTCTCAGCACAACATGACGATTAGTCTTCATTGCAGTGGAAAATACTAACAGATAGTCTTTTCTCACAGTGCCAAAGAACAGCCTTGCCTCATAGATAGAATTCCACACCATAAGGGCAGCCTTGTTTAAGACTGGTTTCTGAATTGCTCATTGGAAGATACAGGAACCTTGGCTCCAAAGAGTTGTTTTAGCTTTACCTCAAAATTGCAAAAGTATTGAATGGCCAAATTCAAATTCCCAGTTTGCTATAAAATAATCCAGCTCCTGGCCCCTATTCAGTTGTACAACAATGACAACTTGCATTTATATGGCACGATTCACACGGTGCAGCATCCTGGAGCGCTTAAAGTTATAAAAGAACCCAGTACTTGAGCGCTCTGAGACGTTACCTGTGTGAGGATGCTATATAAATGCAAGTTGTTGTTGTTGATCCCCAGTCAGTTGTAAAACAACCCAACCCACAGCTTTGAGAGAGATCTTGGGAGGAGTTGTCAGAAATGTTGCTGTAATTAGAGTTTGAGGTTTCTGATGAGATATCTCCCAAACTTTGCACATCGGTTTACAAATAAGAGAAGGTTGCAATAATAATAAAAATAATGGTTGGATTGCATACCTTCATTAAGTTTCAGCCCCTGATATTTCTAACTCCACTAATGTGGGGACTGTTGATTGACGAGCCCAGTCCCCTCCCCAGTATTTTGCGTGGCTCCTAATAATGTAAAGTCTAATGCAATTTTTTTTTACCAGTTTTTTGGGAACCCAATTTTGGAAAGCGACAAAGCAGTTAAATGTAGAAAAGGATAGAGGTGGTTTTCTAATAGTACTACATCATTTTCACTGGTCAGAATTAACACAGTACTGCTAGGTAGGAAAAAGTTTTCCCTGGAGAGCCATACCATTGAGAGTAAAATTGCTCCACCAGTCGATCCTAGTGCAACTAACAGACCATTAACTGAGTCCTGGCTGTGGTGGCTGTCAAGCATTGCCCTGACTCGAGAGGCGCCTCATGCAATTTCACCTTGTGATTGCTGCCCCTCAGCTTCAGATCTTCAGCCTGGACAGGGTGGGAATGCTGACATAATCAAATAAAAAGGGCTGCTTACATTTTTGTCATTGATCTTCCAGAAGTAAAAGGCACCGATGGCTCCAAGTACCAGCAGAGCAGCCCCAGTGATGAGCACCACTGCGCCGATCTTCAGCAGACGACCACTGCTGGAGGATTTCACCGCCACTGTGTAAGCCTCCAAGGTAGGGAAGGAGGGGGAAAAAAACATCTTAATATAACTAATGTCAGATAACAGAAATGCACAGTGCATGAAACATCCACAGCAAACTAGCCCGACAATGCACGTACACAGGGAGGAGAAAATCTTATACCAAGGGGGAAACATTGATTTGCAAACCAAGGGGACACTTTTTCCATTTGAAAAAAAAAGGGGATCTGACTTTGGGATTTTGAACATGTTTGTTGAGGTGGAAACTTGAAACGAGTTTAACTTAAAAGTCCCCCCCCAAACAACACACGAAACACACACACACACACACACACACAGAGTTGCTGAGTTGTCCCCCACTGGACGTTGCATTTAGTTATTGATGAAATTCCACCAACGTTTCTCGTGGAGAGAAAAATAGACTCATCGCATTTGTACTAAAAGTTGCAGTTTGGTCTCAGCGTGAAACTTGATTCTAAAATTCTCACAGAAGCCTGGGAAGGGTTTTTTTTTAAATGACACCGTTAATGTCTATTAAGAAATGACCTTCTCGACTGCGAATCGGTTCACATTCCAACGAAGTCATTCAACAAGTGAGTGAGTGAGTGAGTGAGTGTGTGAATTAACGTTCCTGGTGTAGATGGGATCTAAATGGAAGTTGATCTGTTTCTCTACAATCCAGACTTTTTGAGAGGTTTTCTGAGTACTTACAGGGGGTAGGCACTGCTCCACGTCAGCTGGTCCTGCCAGGGCTATGGGCACTTTTTCTGAGGTTTCTGCCATGGTGTCTGTCTGCTCTGCGCTGACCCTCTCTCTCTCTCTGTCTGAGTGAAACTCCAGTCAATGCAGCATTGAGCAGTTACGTGCTCTGTGTTCCCAATGATCCGCGTTCGGACACCGTCAAACCAAACCCTGGACTTGCACAAACCCCTTCTCACATTCCCCTGAACGTCATTTCCCCCTCGGGATCGGTTTATTTATGTAGGGATTTGACGAGGAATTGAATGCGCGATGAGACTATAATAGGGTCAAACAGAAGAAGGTGGTGAGAGTTTATTTGGACTTCAAATATAACAAACAGGTTACATCGGTTTGGTACATTCTCGGCACTATTCCTGTAGCTGGAATCTCCAGGGTATTTAATAACAGTAATAACCATTTCATACAGCGCCTTATCACGTCTTCGAGGCGTCTCAAAGTGCTTCACAGAAGCTCATTTGTGTTTATTATTACAGATACGGTTTACAGTATTTTCGTAATGTTTCTTAAGTATTGCTTTCAAAATGCTGCGTTTAAACTACTGTAGGGAACCCCTGAGATTTGCGCAATATGACAATAAGATTGGGAATTGAGCCATTGTTTATTAAGCCTATCACGATTGGGAAAAATATTCATGTGTAGTTTCTTATCAGACTATTTCATCAGATATAATCGGACACTTAAGTAGAGAGTAAAGTACACGTGCAAACACATTGAGGCAGCTTGGTTCAATGGGTATTGCTGCCTTTGAGTCAGAAGGTTGTGGGTTCAAGCCCCAAGTTCTGGTATTTGAACTCACATTGTCTTGTCCACAGTCCATCTGATATTCCAGTGCAGTGCTGGGATGTGCTGCACTGTTGAAGGTGCTGTCTTCACATCATGGCTGTTTATGGCAGATTGGCTGCCGCATTCACCTACAAAAATACACAGCCACTGCACTGATCATGTGAAGCTCTTTGAGACATTCTCCTGATTCGAGGAGGTGTTACATCAAATGCAAATATTAATATTATTATTACTTGTACACTCATTCTGCTAATATAGTTAAGTGGCATTTAGCTCTCTCAATGACTCAGTAGATAAATACACTACATGATACAAGTCACACATATAAACCAGAAAGGTTCCATGGCTAGTCTTCTTTGGAAGAACTGGCAAAATTCCACAAGCAAAGTTTGTTTTTCTTTCTCCAGCGAAACATACAGTCTGTATTTTTAAAAGTGACACGGGGTTAAATACTTTGTGTGGCTTATCCCTCTACAAGCTTTGCAGACAATCAGACACTAATCTTCTGTGAAATTCCCCAAACCCCCCCTCCCCCTATATTCAACGTGAGCTGCTGCGAGCAGCATGATGACATGCGCTGAAAATTTTCCAGGAGAGAAATGGTATTTTTGGTGCCGGAAGTTCCTTTGTTCATAAAATCCCATTTCACAAACTTGTTGAAATCACAGCCTTAAAATCGCATAAGCCCCCATTGTGGCAAGCGTGACTGGCAATACCATTCCTGTGAATAGTCTTACACTGAACCCCCAGCAGCACGACCAACACTGCTCATGTTGTGGAGATGGCAAGCCTTGCCAACAACAAAGATGGTTTTGCCTGAGTCGTTGATGTTTGTTAAGCTGACGTTGAAAGTATTGAAACTTTTCATTGCAGCTTCACAGGTAACGACTTAGCCAATTCTCTATCCTATCCGAGCACCTGTGTCGCATGCCCCTGGCTTCAAAAACAGCAGGTCGCCTGAGCAGGATTCCAAGATAGTGGCTTGATGGATTTCAACTAGTTTTGGTGCCATTATTGTTAAGAATCTAGGAGGGGGGGGTATTTCAAAACACGTTTTTAACAATGTTTCTTCAATAAGTAGTGTTATGTGTTTAAGGATGACACAATTTGATCTTGTATTGTAATATTTAGATATTGTTTGTGCATTTTTCTTCTGTGAGTTTTTTTTAATTGTTCAGCATTAAACTTATATAGTGACCTGATGTATTACCAGGAAAGTATAATTGCAATTAACAGTTCTGCGAGTTAAAAGATTGCAATGCTTCCGATGGTTCTTTTCCTCAGATTCACAGACAGCACATGGCTTTCTTCCAGATGATGGAGAAGCTACTGCTGTGAATAAAAAAACTGTGACCGCCGGGGTCTAAAGATAGGTTTGGGAGGTGCACTGATGGAAGAAAACTGTTTTTACTTCGCTGTCATAGAGGAATAGAAAAATTCTGAAAATTAACTGGTTCAGGAGGTTGTTTAGAAATTAATGCTGCAGTTTTGTTTCAAGCATTGAGTCAATGTGATGCCTGCTGTAGAGGGATATGCACCAGCAGAGCAGGGTTACACTACCAGCTGTGTTTCGTTCTCTCTCTGGGCTCATTGCAAGTGAAGCAAAGCTCTGCACACATAAGCACAGACACAGAGCTCCACTAAATGGTGCCAAATGCCAATTAATTTTTAATAATATTACATTTAAAAAATGTTGCGTTTAAAAGTTCACTTTGAATCGACCTGCATTCATATTGCAGTAATTACCTCAGTTATGTAAAGTCCAAGTCGTGTCAGACTAATCTTCTGGCGATGACATCGTTTCCCTGAATTGGGTTTAGAGCTCCTGAAATTGAAGTTATGGTGTGGAGTTTGTTCACTCAATGTGAACATTTGAATAGCCGCAGCATGAGATCACCCTTGCTAACTTTGAGTGGGTAATGCATTTACATTAGGAAAAGGAAATCCTATCAAGATCAGAGAGATGTTGGAGTGATATTTCTGATTGGCAAAAGTGGCAGGTTGCAAATGCATTTAAAAGTATCAAGCTGTCTTAGTTTTGAGCATGTCACACATAACAAGATTACGTTAACCATAATGAATGATTGACACACAGTCATGCCAGCCTACCTGATCTCCTCCCTCCAGAATAATCACACTCCCATCCACCAATCACGGATTCAAGGTCCTTTTTAAATGAATGCAGTGTCCTGCTCTCAACCACCCTTCCTGGGAACTTGTTCCAGTTGTTAATCATCCTCTGGATTAAAGAAAAACAATCAAAATTGCCCTCTTCAAATCCATCCATTGCCTGTTGCCATGAGTTTGATCTCTTGTTCTGGTAGAATTGTACTGATAGGTAGATATAATAAGGACTAATATGCAGAATTTTAACAGGACATCATACTAAGAAACTCCATGAGGATTCCAGTCAACTTGCGGGACACCGCTTTGGTAAGTAGATCATATTGTGTTCTACATCTGTTTACCAGACGTCCCCATTTACACAAATGAGAGTCCATATTAAGGAATTCCATTTAGAAATACCTCAATCGTTAACGTGTGTCTGTGACTAGATTATATGAGTCACACATACATGGAACACTCCAGTTTTTTCCAAAGCTTAGAGCACAATTGTGCTTTTGTAATAATAATAATCCTTGTATTTGATATAGCACTTTTCACGTCTTCTAGACATCTGTAACATAAAATGTGTATGCATACCATTCATTTACTGTGTGCAAATTGGCTGCCACATTCACCTTCAACATATGAAAGTCACTACACCATATCTTAGATTTGATATAGCGCTTTATGACATCCCTTCGATGTGAAAGGTGCTATATTAAATCCAAGGATGATGATTATTATTATAAGTGGTGGTGCTCCATAGTTCCACAGTAAGTTGGAGCATTTGATTGTGTGCTGGCATTGGAATGTTACTGGTGAGAGTGAAGGCATTATTTATTATGTCTGGCCTATACTAAGCAACGTCTGAAAGATATACCAAACCAGTCAGGTGTCATACATTCAGATTCTGAACACTTGAACAGTTACACACTTGAGGCAATCATATACACAGCAGTGATTACGACTGATGCCCAAGAAGACAGAGTTAGTTATATTATCACCCATCGCTATGTCAGGTAGTCTTGCTTGGACAAACTTCCATTATGATAGAATTTGTTTCACCCATACCCCTTCGAGGCATTTAATCATGCTTTGGCTAAAAATGCCGACTTCATGTGGATGAAAAAACTATATTCTGATATTTTATTCTATTTTATACCAGTTTATTGGAGCAGAGAATAAACTTGTGCATTATACTAAAAATGAAGTTGGAAAGCAAGAACATATTAGTTTCAAACATATTATTAGATGTCAAAACAATTGCTGCTAGTAAGACACCTGTCAAACCAGAGAGTTTTTTTNACTCAAAAAAAGTATAAAAGATACTGAAGAGACGTACTACTAATAATTTTCCATGCATTTGAATTGGTACCTTTTACATCAGGAGAACATTTCAAAGCTCTTATTTCATAGGATTTACTAGCTTAGATGTGAAGCTTGAATCCACAATTTGCTGAATTAGAGGTGAGAGTGCTAAAAACTGAGCCAGGCATACGCTTAAAATTGAGAATTCATTTGGTGTAAGGAGAAATTAAAGAAGTACAGATTGCTTAAACTTCAAAAGTGTTAGAAAATAATATTCAAAACATTGAGAAGGGTGTCTAATATTATTTCTTAACTGATGTATTTGAAGAACCATTACCTCTGCCTATGCATTTTAGTAAGATGGAACAGTGCATGAATCAGGCAGGAACAGTAAAACATGGAGACCAGGAGCAGTCTGAAAACAACCAGCAAAACTAATCAGCAGCAGCATTTGTTTCAAACTCATTTAGTGTCAGTGACAATCCAGCCCTTGGCAATCAAACTACAGCAGACTAATTAATAAAGATCTCCGAGGACTATGAGCAAGTCTGAAAGGTCGTATGTCTTGCAACTTAAGAATTAAATGTAAAGCAAACCAATGACCCTGAGGGACATTTGCTAATGTGAACAGGATGTCACAAAATATTCTTAAAAGGAGATACATCTTAATCAATGTTCTGAATTTACTTTGTGAGTCAGGTAGACCTATTCTTATCAGTTATTCCTTCGGCTGGCTGCACACCTGGCAGTTCTTGACATTTGAGATTTGGATTGGGAAGTTTGGCCCCAAATATGAAACTCACCATGGTTCATGGAGGGTGGAGATACTGCCAGGAAAGGACCATGGAATCCTGTAGCTCAGTGGTTAGAGCATTCACCTTGCAAGTGAGAGACCTGGGTTTGATTCCCAGCAGGGCGAAATGTTGGGCAAGCTTCCTTACTCCACACGCCTCTGTTTCCCCAGCAGTAATCAGGAACCCATTTGTTAGTCGATTGGCAC